GGGAAACAGGAAAGAACCTAAAAGATATGCATATATGCATAGTACCCAAGAGAAGAGGATGGAGACAAGATCCTCTGAATGGATGGGGAACAGGGCGAGGGGGGGTAGTGGGACCTGGGAAGAATAGAGGGGGTAAAGAGGAAGGGAGTTGGTCACGGGGGAACAGGAAGTTGAGGGGGCGGGGGTAGAATAGGGGGAAGAGGGAATCATAGGATCGAAGACAGATCAGGCACCAGAGTGACCTCGAGTGATCTAAAGGTATAACATCAATTGGCAAGCTAAGCAATAGTGGAAGGACCACCTCGAATGCCCATTCCTGATAATGAACTTGATGTCTATAACTATCCGGGAGCCTTCATCCTGGGACTGATGGAAGCAGAGGCAAACACACAACTAAGCACTGAACTGAACCCAAGGAACCCAGTGACAGAGAGAGAGGAATGATGAGCAAATTGGCAAAGAATGGGCTGGCAAAACCAGCAGAGACGGCTGATCTGAACAGGGGAGTGCGCTTGGACCCCAGACCGACAGTGGGGAGGCCAGAATGGGACTGATCTGGACCCCCCAAATGTGAGTGCCAGTGAGAAGGCCTGGACAACCTATGGGGCTCTGAGCTGTGGATCAGTGTCTATTCCTGGTATACAATCTGTCTTCATGTGCCTATAGCACAAAGAGAGATGCTCTCTCAGCCTGGACTCTTAGGGGAGTGCCTTGACCCTACCAAGAGTAAAATGATAGACTCTAGACATCCCCTATGTGGAAGGATTTGGCAATAGGGTGGGAGGGAGGGTGGAAGGGGAGTGCGGGAGGACGGGAGGGAGAGGGAACTGGGATTGACATGTAAAACAAGCTATTTAAAATTAAAATAAAAAAATAAAAAATAAAATAAAAAAAAAGAATGTCCCTTGGCCACAGTGTCCTTGAACAAACTTACAGGCTGCATCCATATCCTACTATAACATTACACAGTCCATAAACTTAATCTTTAGAGATGCTTTTGTGTGTTGAGATTGACACACCATGAGAGATAATACCACACTGTTTTAAGCCACAGAGCTTCACTGGTTTGTTGTGAAGCAGTAGATAGCTGACCAGCCAACTGAAAACTAGTTTGAGCTAGTGTTAAACACTTGTATGGCCTGGCTTAGAAGGCTTCTGAGTACAGGGCTCTCTGTCTCCATCTGTAAAAACAGTATAATAGCCTATTATTGTTTACTTTTCCACTACAGGTTGCTGCCTCAAACTTAGCATTTTAATAAAAAAAATGTATCATCATCAGGCAGTTCTAGAGGTCAAGAAGTATGATGTAGGTCTCAGTGAGCCAAATTCTACTCTGGAGACTGCTGGAAGAACTGGTTTTCAGAAGCTTATATATTTTGGCTTATGACCCCCCCTCTCTGTCTTTAAAACTCAGTAGTATTTAGTTGGTCCTTCCTGCCTCCCTCTTCACTTTAACAGACACTTATGATCATATAATCCAGGATAATCTCATATGACTATTTGATGATTTTGCTATATAATCACATAGTCATGAGTTTATTAGACTAAGATATGGATATCTCTAGGCATGAGGGGGGTTTCCTTCTTCTTGTAATAACCTCCTGCCTCTTTATTTTAAGCCACAATAACACTGGAGAATAAATATGATTTTGTTCATTTTACAAACATAGCTGAGTACTCATTATGTGACAAATTGTATTAGAAGCCTATGTTTGTTAAGCATATCTATTAGATGCCTGATATTAGATTCCGGTAGGATAGACAATAAATTGATCCATGGTTTGGTGGACTGGTAGATTGGTGTATCAGTGTCTTTAGAGTAAAATATAATCAACAGATTCTAGATTCTAGATGCTATTAGAAGAATAACACTGGCCGGTTATTGTCAGCTACAACATGAACTAAAAGAGGTAACTTGATAGCTATGTTGTAAGGAATGACCAAGAATGCCTTTTTGGGTAATGTGACATTTAGACTGAGATCAGAACAATGGAGGCACCCATGGGAAGATCTGAGGCCACCCAAATCAGAAATAAATGTCCGAAGAAGTCAAAGCCGGCATCCTATGGTAAAAGCTGTGGTGCTATGGAACCTTCTATGTAACCCTATAGACACAATGTACACGGCCTATAGGTTTTATAGGAGACAAAGGGACATGTGCAACTTATTTTGTATGTATGAATGCTTTGTCTGCATGTATGTCTGTCTGTACAGTATGTGTATGCCTGGTCCCCATGAAGACCAGATCAGGGTGTCAGATCCCTTGGAGCTGGAGTTATAGTTATAAGCCACCATGTGGGTACTGGGGATTGAACCCCAGTCCTCTGGAAGCCAGTGCTCTTAAATACTGAGCCATCTTTCTAACCCCAGAAATATGTGAAACTTAAGAAAAATAATAATTACTGGTTCCAAGATACCAAGAGAAAGCCACAAAATTGAAGTGAATAAATATTTAATTGTCACATTCCTACTTCATTGATTGTTAAATGTAATTTCATAAAATATTCATTATATTTGTAAACGACTTACAGTTTTCATTTTTTAACCTCTTGGAAATTCCCAAGTATATATACAGTATTCTTAGAAATCAATCACATATAAATTAGATGAAGTTCACTGCAGCCAAATAATTATAAAAATAAAACAAATCTGTTTAGAGTAACAGTGGCAATATATATTAGAGATGTAGGTGCATTTAAATAAATTTGATAACATATGACAAAAGGCTTCCAGAAGCTTGAGTTTTTAAGGCCTACAAAAGTCATCCCAGAGCCATAGTAGTTGATAAAATGCTGAAGAGAGCCTATTGCCCAAACTGGGCAGTCTCTCCGTCCAGCAAAAATGGAGGAAGTCTGCTAACAACCAAATCCATGCTCTTACTCCAAGTATCTCCTTGAAAATGACACAATTGTGTGTTTCGCTCACTAGTGACAGAGAGGCAAAAGAGAACACAAAAGCTATCTCCTAGAGGCCAACCAAAGTTGGTATCAGCAAGGTAAAGCATCTCCATTACTGAACCCATCCCTGCAGATGTAAAAGTAAAATGAAGTCCAAAACACCTTTGATCGTGTGTGCTACTGCAGCTGGCTTCTTACTCCATACTGCTTATTTCCTAGGAGTCTTCTCTAGGGCAGTTGGGAACAGTTCTGAACTATAACGGGTGCTGGGATTATTTACCTATGTTAATTAAAAAAGGCAAGCAAGAGTAACTCCAGAAATTGTGTTAAGTTTTCATTACTATCATGAAGTACTTGAGGTAGGCTAGTTTATAAGGAAGTGAGGTTTATTTTGCTCAGTTGTTACACAAGAAGTACAAATCTCATGGAGTGGTCTCTGGAACGGGACTTTCTAGGTTATATCTTATCACAATTCTATGGTGTATATCTCCATCCATATGAACTGTCTCCCTCTCCTTATAAACTTACCAGGACACAACCAATCATGGGACTCCACCCTAACGAACCAAACACTTTCAAAAGATTGCACCCCTAAATACGATGGATGGCTTAAGTTTCTGCCCTTGCTATCATGAGGCTTTGGAGATTAAACTCCTTAGTGACTGGAAAACACAAACCTATTCAAGAAATGGCTCTGGTAAGAGCTGGATGTGGACTTCTGGCAATAGCTGAGGCTATTGCTGGACGATGGGAGTGTACTGTCCTAAGGCAGAGAATGTGAGCTCGTGCATGTGAAAATCATGGCATAGCCAAATCCTGGTGAAGGCAGAATAGGCAAATATAGAAGCTATGGGGGTTCAGCTGAGGCAGTGAGCCTCAGAGCCCTGCTAACCAGGGAGGCCATCCCAAGGACTTGGAGTCCCAGAATCTTTTATTTTGAAGATGTACTTTTATTATTTTTAATAGGGTATAGGTGTGTGTGTGTGTGTGTGTGTGTGTGTGTAGCATAAATTACATAGTGTGCTACTATGCGGATGAATGTCCAATCCAGTCACACTTTTCCTTGTGAATTCATGGAAACTTCCCGGGAGACTAAGTATACTTCAGAGACATGAGTTCTGAGGAGCAGAACTGAAATGGAGAGCTGGAGAAAGTCACTTTTTAAATCATATACTCTTTAAGGTACCATTTGAATTTTCTGTCCTGAGTTATTTTCATTGTAAGTTAATATTAATCAGAAAAATCACAGTAAACTGTCTGAAGACACAGCCACCAACATGAGCTTGAATGTTTACAATGCCATTGTGGTTTGATCCTGAATTAGTTTCTTGCTCATTCTAGGTTATAGTTTTATCTTGTTTTTAATCTTAAAAAAGTAAAGCTAGTAATAGAGTTGTGGTGTTTTGAATAAGAATGACCCTCATAAGCCAATTGGTGGACTGTTTAGGAAGGATTAGTATTGGAGGAAGTGTGTCACTGGGGGTGGGCTCTGAGGGTTCAAAAGTCATGCCAGGCTGGTTCTTACTCTTTGTCTGCTGCCTGTGGATCAGATGTAAACTCTTAGCTACTGCTCCTGCGCCATGCCTGCCTCCATGCAAGCACCCAGTTAAATGCTTCCCTTTATAAGCTGCCTGGTTCATGGTGTCTCTTCACAGCAATAGGATGGTAATTAAGACACTAGTCTTGAAAGCTTCAAAGTCTATTAGTGCCATGACTCAATAAAAGTATTTTATATTTAGAGGCAGACAGCATCCTGCATTCTTCGGGCCCAGGGTAGCCCATGGAGCTTTCACACAGCAAACTTTTTTCTTTAGTGTCTGCTATCCACAAAGTGGAGTGGAGTGTCTGTCATCTCACGGTGACAGGTCCTTGCTCCTTCTGTCTCTTCATTCATCCCCCACATAAATTGGAGAAATAGCATTGCTTTTGAAGAGACTATCTGTAGTAAATCATTTTTTATGCAAAACTGGACATACTAAAAATTTTATGCAAAACTGAACATACTATAAAAAGCCTCATAAACCATCAATTAAGGACCAAAGTTCCAAAGAGTATTCGAAGTCATTCTCCTACTGCATGGCTGATCACAGCCAGACTGCATACTTTGTTTGGAATGTTGATGTCACTTCCTCCTTCCAGGAGCACTCGACTGCATTCTTCATGACCTCCTTCAACGGCCAACATGAATGGAGTTTCTCCATTCTGGTAAAAAGAAAAAGAAGTTAAAATCCATTTCTCCTTGGAATACAGTAAAAATACTTTGAAAATCAGCATGCTTCCAATATTTTTATGCATGATTCTTTTGTTGTTGTTGTTGTTGTTAGCATTACTTGGCATTTATATGCCAACATATACTGACTGTACACTTTGGTACAGTCAAACCAGATGACTACCCTAGGAGGACAGAATTCACTTTATCCTCATTTCATAGACACCAAAACCAAACATCTGGTGATCAGAGCATTTGTCATCTAGTTATTTTAGCTTATTCAGTCAACTATCCTCAATTCTGTCCTCCTGACCAAGTCGGTCCCAGGACACAGCAGGTCCTTTATGCACATACATGTGCGCAAACTGGAGGAAACACAAACATGCCAGAAAAATAAGAAGCAACAACAAGAGCCAACCCTCTCTGCCAGAGACCACTGGAAAGGCAAAAGAGATAACATGTTGCCTCCTATGTGAAGGCTGTGGTTTGTGAAATAGATTCTCATGGTCTATTGTGTATACAGCTATAATCATGTTTTCCCTATGTCTTTCTTGTCCTGCAGGACTCCAGTGTAAAAACACATACTTATTCTGAAAACAAATGTCATTGTCCTCTTCTTCTTGGAAAGATTTTTTTATGCAATATACTCTGATCACGGGTTCTCTTCCCTCAACTCCTCCCCATCTCCCCACTCACCCAACTCCATGCCCTTTCTTTCTCTCTTTCTCTTAAGGAAAAGAGAAATAAACAAAGCAGAATTAAACACACACACACACAAATAAAACCACAAAATCCAAAACCATAATATACATGCAAACACTAGTCAAACAAAAAATATCCAAACACAGCAACATGAGACAAAAATTCTACAAAAACACCATTGAATTCATTTTGTGTCAGCATCTACTGCTGGGCATAGAGACTCCCTTGAGTGCGGTTTGTATATCCAACGTGACTCCATTGGAGAAAACTCAGTTTTCCTTTGCAAGCAGCTGTCAATTGGGGACAGTTCCTTAGAGCAGGAAGCACGTGTCCACTTCTGCCTCTCAATGCTGGGCCTGCTTGAACTGGTGCAGGCTTTGTGCATGCTGCCCCAGTCTCTGCTGTACCTGGAAGACTGTTCTCTGGTATCATCCCTCCTCCCCTACTCTTACAAATGGCTTCTGAGTGAATTAACAAATTCCCAGCAGAGGATACTTGAAGAAAACAGCAGGACTCTTCAGCGCTCCATTTTATACTTGGTGGCGCTAATGTCTTCGATTTCCTTTTCTTTTTCTAGAAAGTGCCACCGACCTGCCCTTTAAGTCCCGTGGCCAGCTGGAATTTGTGTGTCCACATACCTCGTTGGTCTCATTTACTTCCAGCCTGTGAGTTAGTAGCGCCTGCACCGCTGGGCTGTGACCGCGCATGGCAGCCAGGTGCAGGGCAGTGTTTCCCTCCTGAAAGAGAAAGGCACTCCAGGTGAAACTGCCTGTGCCGAGGAACACAGCCTCCAACACCAGGGCACGTTGTGACTTCTGGAAGCTTCTTCTTTGGTTACAGCAAGGTGTAGACACTATCCAGTTTTAAATAAAACTTATCAATTTAAAGTTTTAAATGAGAAGCCTTGGCTATTTGAACCAGAAGGAGAAAGAAAAAAAAAAGTTCTTGCTTGAATTTGGCACCAATTTTCTAGGGGAAAAAAACAATAAAAATAACTGGACCTAGCCTGTGTTAGGGTCCCCCTGATAAAATCAACCTGAGTAGTAAGTGATATTAGTAACAAATATCAAAAAATATATGGTGCAAACCTTGTAGACCCACATCTTGAAATTTACCCTAAGAAAGCCATCAGAGATGTCCATATGGATGGCTACCTTGTGAGGGTTCCCTTCACAGTTAATGTGGGACCATGTTGGAAGTAGTCCTCAAGGAAGGATAGGGGAGGGTTGGGACTTTCCAGGAATGGGTCCTCCATCTAGGAAGCAATGCATCACAAGCCACTTTGGGGCCAAGTTCATCAAGCTTCTGATTTAGAAGAGCCAAACTCAACACAAAGTAGAAAAATTCAAGAAGTAAACTAATTTCAAAACATTTATGGCTGAGCAGTGGTGGTACACACCTTTAATCCCAGCACTTGGGAGGCAGAGGCAGGTGAATCTCTGTGAGTTCAAAACCAGCTTGGTCTACAGAGTAAGCTCCAGAAAAGTCAGGGCTACACAGAGAAATCCTGACTTGAAAGAATGTTTAAATTTTCTTTTATGAAGTAAAAACTACCAGTCATTGCCAGGCCTGGTGGTACATGCCTTTAATTTCAGCACTCAAGTGGCAGAAGCCGGCAGATCTCTGTGAATTCAAATCCAGGCTGGTCTACACATGAAACACCAGGACAGCCAGGATTAGGTAAAGATCTTGTCTCAAACAAACAAAACAAACAAAAAACTCCACCTACAAAGCATGACAACCTACAGAGAAGGTGGGTTGATTTTACCTGCATGGTCCATGATTCTCTCAGTAATTAGTAACTATTTAAGAACTTGGCTGTCGACCAGAAAAAACCTTCCAGCAATCTGCACACTGATTGTTAATCCCCACATCAACTGTTACTCCTTTGTTGTCAGTAAAAACAAAGTCCAACTCACCTTATCCTTTTCTGAAGAGTGCAGGTTAAGGAAGACAAGCTTTTCAATCATTTCAACATGGCCCCTCTCAGCTGCCAAGAGAAATGGCTTTCTTCCTCTCTGAAATCAATCACATATTTTACGATTATTTCACATTTAGCAAACAATTGGGATAACTGAAAAGGTGTGAGTAACATTTTATTTATTTATCTATTATTTATTTATTTCTGGTTTTTTGAGACAGGGTTTCTCTGTGGCTTTGGTGGCTGTCCTGGAACTAACTCTTGTAGACCAGGCTGGTCTCAAACTCACAGAGATCTGCCTTCTTCTGCCTCCCGAGTGCTGGGAATAAAGGTGTGTGTCACCACTGCTCAGCGTGGGTAGCATTTTAAAGGTAAAGAAGCAGCTATGACAGTCCTTCTGGTTGTATCAATTCCAGCCCCTTCTCATGGGAAGGGGGATGATCATGTCTCTAAACCTAAGCCGGATCCAGTTCTGGGCTGTCATCAGAGCTGTGGAGAACCCCATATCAACAGTGAATCAACTTCATGGAGACAGTGACATGTTCACAAGAGGTCCTCTGAAGCATCAGAGAAGCAGTATTTCAGTCTAACCATCAGCATTCATTTCCCATGCAGCAAGGATTCCTGACTGGACCAACACTTCTTCCACTTAGCTACCTCCTCATACGCTAGCTAGCGCCAGGTCCTCTTTGAAGCAACTGAGCATCACACTAAGACTTACTGATAAAACCATACGAGACAGACCCTTTCTGTAACCAAATCCCACAGAGGGACCTGGAGGCAGAACAAAACATCCAGCTTCATCGGCCACCATTCCGGGCTTGCCCCTCCACCCTCCGGTAGAGAGAGAGAGGTGAGTCCCAGGGCCTCTTCTAGCCCACCTCCCCCTCTTTGAGTCCCCTGACCACAACGACTACCAGACCCTTCCTGCCACCGAACCTCGCAGAGGGACCTATAGGCAGAGCAAAGCTGCCAGCCTCATCTGCAGCCATTCCGGGCTTGCCCCTCCACCCTCCGGTAGAGAGGAGAGTGAGGGACCCCATCTATACCCACTGGAAGAAGAGATGGTATGACAACAGTATAAGAACACATCCAACAACAGAAAGACTTATATGACACCACCAAAGTCTAGGGACTCTACACTATCAAGAAGACCTGAACATCCCAAAGCAGATGATACAGAAGAGAATGGCCTTTAAAAAAAAACCTCATGAAAATGATAGAGGCCCTCAAAGAAGACATGAGAAAATCCTTTAAAGAAATGGAAGAAAAAACAAACTAAAAAATGCAAGAAATCAACAAATCTCTTTAAGAAAGCAAGGAAAGCCAAGAAAAAAAAATCAGATGAAGGAAACAGTTCAAGACCTTAAAACTGAAATAGAGACAATAAAAAACCACAAACTGAGGGAATGCTGGAAATAGAAAAGCTGGGTAAATGGTCAGAAACTACAGATACAAGCATAACCAACAGAATACAAGGGATAGCAGACATAATCTCAAGTACTGAAGATAAATCAGAGGAAATAGATTCATTGACCAAAGAAAATCTTAAATCCAACAAATCCTTAACACAAAATATCCAGGAAATATGGGATACCATGAAAAGACCAATCTTAATAATAATAGGTATAGAAGAAAGCAATCAAGCCCAGCTCAAAGGTGCAGAAAACATACTCAACAAAACTATAGAAGAAAACTTTCCCAACATGAAGAAGGACATGCCTATGAAAGTACAAGAAGCTTAAAGAACACCAAATAGACTGAACCAAAAAAAAGTCCCCTCACCACATAATAATCAAAACACCAAACATACAGAATAAAAAATGATATTAAGAGCAGTAAAGGAAAAAGACCAAGTAATATATAAAGGCAGACCTATCAGAATTACACCTGACTTCTCCATGGGATCTCTGAAAGCCAGAAGGTCCTGGATAGATATTCTAAAAATACTAAGAGACCACAGATTCCAGTCCAGACTACTATACCCAGCAAAACTCTCAATCACTATAGATGGGGAAAACAAGATATTCCATGACAAAATTAGATTTACACAATACATATCCACAAATCCAGCCACACAGAAGGTTCCATAAGGAAAACTCCAACCCAAGGAAGTTAACTACACTCAGAAAAACATGGGCAATAGATAATCTCACTTTACCAAAAGCCAGAAATAGGTGGAAAACTCACACACAATACCACCACCAAAATCGAATCCAAAACAAACAAGAATCAACAATCAATGGTCATTAATATCCCTCAATATTGATGGTCTTAACTCACTTATAAAAAGACACAGTCTAACACAATGAATACACAGATAGAATCCGTACTTCTGCTGCATACAAGAAGCACACCTCAACTTCAAAGACAGATATTACCTCAGAGTTAAGGGTTGGGAATAGATTTTCCAATCAAATGAATCTAAGAAGCAAGCAGGTGTAGCTATCCTAATATCTAACAAATTAAACTTCAAACTAAAATTAATCAAAACAGAGATGAAGAAGGACATTTCATATTCATCACAGGAAAAAACCAACAGGATGAAGTCTCAGTTCTGAACATCTATGCCCCAAATACAAGGCACCCACATTCATAAAAGGAACATTACTAGAACTCAAATCACACATTAAACCCCACACACTTATAGGAGGAGATTTCAACACCCCACTCTCACCACTAGACAGGACCACCAGACAGAAACTTAACAAAGAAAAAAAGAAATTAAAAGAAGTTATGACCCAATTGGGTTTAACAGACATCTATAGAACATTCCGTCCAAATACAAAAAAATATACCTTCTTCTCAGCACCACAAAGGACCTTCTCTATAATCGACCACATATTTGGCAATAAAGTAAACCTTAACAGATACAAAGAAAATTGGAATACCCTTGTATCTTATCGGACATTCATGTCTTAAAATTAGAATTCAACAACACAAATTTCAGAAAACCCACAAACTCATGGAAATTGAACAATGCTCAATTGCATCACCCTGGGTAAAGGAATAAATAAAGAAGTCAAAGACTTGCTAGAATTCAATAAAAATGAAGGCACGACACAACCAAATATATGAGACACTCTGAAAGCAGTTCTAAGAGGAAAGCTCACAGCACTAAGTGCCCACATGAAGAAACTAGAGAATAGCCACACTAGAGAATTAGCAGAACACCTGAAAACACTAGAACAAAAACAAACAAATTCACCCAGGAGGAGTAGATGCCAGGAAATAATCAAATTGAGGGCTGAAATCAATAAAGTAGAAACTAAGAAAACAATACAAATAATCAATGAAACAAAGAGTTGGTTCTTTGAGAAATTCAACAAGATAGACAAACCTTTACAAAACGTAACCAAAAGGCAGAGAGAGAACATGCAAATTAATAAAATCAGAAATGAAAAGGGGGACATAAGAACAGACAGTGGGGAAATCAAGAGAATCATCAGGTAGTACTTTGAAAACCTGTACTCCACAAAATTGGAAATTTTAAAGGAAATGGACAATTTTCTGGATAGATATCACTTATGGAAATTAAATCAAGAACAGATAAACAATTTATACAGACCTATAACCTCTAATGAAATAGAAACAGCAATCAAAAGTCTTCCAATCAAAAAAAGCCCAGGGCCAGATTGTTTCAGTACAGAATTCTACCAGAAATTCAAAGAAGAACTGATACCAATACCCTTCAAATTGTTCCACACAATAGAAGCAGAAGGCTCACTGCCAAACTCTTTTTACAAGGCTACAATTACCTTAGTAGCCAAACCACACAAAAACACAAGGAAGATAGGTAAAAACAGAACAATCTCCTTCATGAACATTAATGAGAAAATACTCTATAAAATACTGGCAAATAGAATCCAAGAACAGATCATAGAAAATCATACACCATGATCAAGTAGGCTTCATCCCAGGGATACAGGGATGGTTCAACATACAAAAATCCATCAATGTAATCTATCATATAAACAATCTGAAAAAGAAAAACCACATGATCATCTCACTAGATGCTGAAAAAGCCTTTGACAAAATTCAACACCCCTTCATGATAAAGGTCTTGGAGAGATCAAGGATAATAGGAACATACCTAAACATAACAAGGGCAATATACAACAAATCGACAGTCAACATCAAACTAAATGGAGTGAAACTCAAAGCAATTCCTCTAAAATCAGGAACAAGACAAGGTTGTCCACTCTCTCCATATCTCTTCAACATTGTACTTGAAGTTCTTGCTAGAGCAATAAGACAACAAAAGGAGATCAAGGGGATACAAATTGGAAAGGAAGAAGTCAAACTTTCACTATTTGAAGATGATATGATAGTCTATGTAAGTGGCCCGAAGAATTCTACCAGGGAACTCCTACAGCTGATAAACACTTTCAGCAAAGTGGCAGGATACAATATTAATTTTAAAAAATCAGTAGCCCTATTATATACAGATGATAAATGTGCTGAGAAAGAAATCAGAGAAACATCACCCTTTACCATAGCCACAAACAACATAAAATATCTTGGGATAACTCTAACCAAACAGGTGAACAACCTGTACGACAAGAATTTTGAGTCCTTAAAGAAAGAAATTGAAAAAGATGCCAGAAAATGGAAAGATCTCCCATGCTCTTGGATAGGTGGGATCAGCATAGTTTAAATGGCAATCTTACCAAATAAAACCTACAGATTCAATACAATCCCTATCAAAATCCCAGCACAATTCTTCACAAACCTTGAAAGGACAATAATAAACTTTATATGGAAAAACAAAAGACGCAGGATAGCCAAAACAACCCTGTACAATAAAGGAACTTCAGGAGGCATCACCATCCCTGACTTCAAGCTCTACTATAGAGCTATAGTTCTGAAAACAGCTTGGTAATGGCACAAAAATAGACAGGTAGACCAATGGAATTGAATTGAAGAGCCTGATATTAACCCACACACCTATGAACACCTGATCTTTGACAAAGAAGCTAAAACTATACAATGGAAAAAAGAAAGCATCTTCAACAAATGGTGCTGGCATAACTGAATGCTGGCATGTAGAAGACTGCAGATAGGTCCATATCTATTACCATGCACAAAACTTAGGTC